AACTACTCTCCGAGTGAATGGGATGAAGAGTCACGACTACCACATATGGATTGAGCGGCTTCTTCCGACAATGGTTCGAGGCTTTGTCCCTGAGCACATATGGACAGTGCTGGCAGAGTTGAGCTACTTCTTCCGCCAGCTCCGTGCCAAGGAGTTATCTCGGACCGTGATTGCTGACTTAGAAAAAGTGGCACCTGTCTTGCTTTGCAAGTTGGAGAAGATCTTTAAACCCGGCTTCTGCAATCCGATGCAGCATCTGATATTGCACCTCCCGTATGAGGCATGAATGGGGGGGCCCGTGCAGGCCCGTTGGTGCTATCCAATCGAGAGATGCCTAAAGACACTTTGGAAAAAGTGTAAAAACAAAGGCAAAATTGAGGCTTCCATTGCAAGTGCATTCACTATGGAGGAGGTGTCAAACTTCACAACATTATATTATTCTGACAACCTTCCAAGTGTGCATAATCCACCTCCTCGTTACAATGCTGACGAAAATGCGTCGAGCCTCAGCCTTTTCCGAGGGCAACTTGGAAGAGCAGGTGCATCGACCAATAAGCCCCTGACAAATGTGGAGTGGCACAAAATCATGTTATATGTGCTGACCAACCTTGAAGAGGTGGACCCATATATTGCATAAGTTCTCAACAGACTTGTTTCAATAATCCCGCACTATTCTACATCCAACCCCCTTGTTTGTCGTTACAGGGAATTCATTCATGAATACTGGCCCCATTCAAGGGAACCAACCCCGCCGGAATGTGATACCCTTCTTTCCAAGGGTGCGGGACAAGGGAGCCCCGATTTTATTTCCTGGTTCAAAACCAAGGTACCGTCCAATTTAGCCCCGATTTGTTGTTGCTCGTACGTCCGATTAATATAATGATGTATCCTGCTTGAGCTTGCAGGCCTGAACCGATGCGTCTATCAGTGCCGAGTTGAGACAGGTTGCCAACGGCTGTGACCAAAGGGTCAAGTCATCAGACGCCTACGACGTGAATGGATATCGATTTCACACAGGAAGCTATGAGCGGAGGCGGCCCAATCGAAGATCCACAAATAGCGGGCTTTTTACGCCCGACACTGATGGCGTAGACTATTATGGAAGAATTGAAGAAATATACGAACTTTCATTCCGTGGTAGCACAAATCTTTATCCTATCGTATTCATATGCCATTGGTTTGATCCGGGAGTAATGAGGAAGACCCCTCATCTTGGTCTAGTCGAAATTCGACAGGATTCCGTCTATCCAAGAGACGATGTGTACATTGTGGCGCAACAGGCCACACAGGTTTATTATACATCATATGCTTGCAAGACTAGACCGGATCTTAGTGGTTGGTTTGTTGTGCACAAGGTCTCGCCACACGGCCGACTACCTGTCCCAAACAATGAAGATTACAACTTCAACCCAAGCACGTATGATGGAGAGTTCTATCAAGAAGATGGGCTACAAGGGAGGTTTGAGATAGACTTAACCTGCGTGATAGGAATGGATGTAGACAATGTAATGGTTGATGATGATGACGATGGAGATGAAGTGCGAAATGCAAAGGACTTACAAATGCTTGAGCGATTACGTGTAGGCAATGACAATGAAGACAACATTCCTCCATCGGAAAGTGTTGATTATTTCGACATGGTTGATAGTGATGATGAGACTTACGATCCAGCTAATCCCGATCATGAAGATTATTTGTAACATACATGTAATACTTTGTAATTTTGTAATTTTGTTTTGTTTTGTTTATTTTGCATCTATTTCTAATTACTTCTTTCTTCTTTCTAATTGTAGGTGACTGAACCAAAATGCTGGGCGGCCGGCAGAGGAACCTGAGCTCGTTCTACCATGGAGCCTCCAGTGTAGGAGCCTCCAGCGGAGGGGGCGAGGAGGAGCAGGGGACATCTTCGACGAGGCGGAGGAGCACGAGGACCACGACCAGGAGGAACAGGAGGACCACGCCCGCGGTCCAACAGTAGCAGGAGGAGGAGGAGGAGGAGGAGGAGCAGGTGCAGCAGGAGGCGGGCGAGGAGGAGGAGACGCCGGTCCAGGAGGAGGCGGACGAGGACGAGGATGAGGACGGGGGCGGGACGGGAGCTACCGCTTCCTCTAGTTCGTCAAGTGTCTACTTGCGAGGACCCTCCACCCTCCCTGACCGACCGCATACTCGTCTACACCCAGTGATTCGCCCAGAGGGGCAAAGGTAAGTGCCTTTGCATGTTATCACTTTTACTTCATATGCTATGTTCGATATCGAAATAGAGACTAATATGTTTTCTTAATCACTTCTGCAGGGGGTGGGAGATTGTGTCGGGGAACACTGCCTCTCGCCATGTCAATGGCATCCTAGGTCTCCTATGCAGGAGACACTTCCTTGGCATGGTCATGCATGTCGGGAACCTCGAGCCCGCCTTCATGTTTGCCCACTACGAGTCCGCCCCCACGTGGAAGCAGGCACCGTCGCTGCGCTCGTCATTCGGGAGTTCTGGGTAAGTCTTCCTCGCACTACATGGCTCAATACAACACACTCATTGGACTCTACTTGAAATAACTAATGCATACATCATGTCTGTATATGCAGGAGTACTTCAAACTTGATGATGGATTCGAGGGCACGGCGGAGGCAGTGGCTAAGCGAGCTTGCAGGAAACGCGTCGTCGACGTCCATCATGAGGTGCGACTCCAGGCCATCATAGATTACTATGGGACGAAGCTCGGACAGAAGGTCACCAAGAAGGGCATCCGAGAACAAGACTTGACGCTGACCAAACCACAGTTCCTTGAGGTAGCTAAAGAACATTAAAATTGGTTCCTTTTGAGATTAAGTACAAATCACTTGTTTTTCTAATATGTCAACTACTTGATGACGTGTAGGTGATTCCTTGGTGGTGCAACGGGTGCCCCGTGGCTTGGGCAAAGATGGTGGACAGGTGGTTAAGCGTGGAGTGGGCCGCTCAGCACGCGGCTGCCCGGCAGCGGCGTTTGTTCATGCCAGGTGTATCACACCATCAAGGCAACCGCAACCTCTCTGGATACGCCCGAGCATGGGTACGTGGTCATGTTTCTATTCTTCTTATTTCGTTGAACTCGGCAAAGAATTCTAATCATCTTGTTTTCGTTCTTGTAGTCGGCGGCACATCAAGGCCAAGAGTGCTCCAACTTCGCCGCATTTGCCATGGCACACAAGGGCAAGGCGTCGTCCGACGTCTCCTTCAACCCGGACGACCCGGCCGAGGCGAACACAAACTCGAGCGCCTACGAGAAAATCACGGAGTACACGGTGGCGGCAAGGTTGATCCATGGGCCGGAGTACGATCCACGGACCGACAACATTGATGCGAACACCGTCATGAGGATTGGACAAGGCAAGAAGCATGGCCGCTACTGGATTGGCGACAGCGTGATCGACACGGCCTCTACTCCCACTCTCTCCCAGATCCGAGCACAGAGCACGACCGCCTCCTCACTCCCGGCGATACGCTCACGGCCGAGCATTTCACAACACCGGGTCGACACACTCCAGGTTATTCATGTTTTACTCGTCGCACATTGATCTTTACACAACTCTATTTCCTTTGCATTATTGTAACATTAGCTTTGCAACAATTTGTAGGCCCAGGTGGAAGAAGCAAATAGGAGGGCCCAGGAGCTGGAGCTGGGGTTGGCGGCCGAGCGTGCCGCGCGGGGGGCCGACAAACTTGCCCTGGAGAAAAGGTTGGCGGACATTATTGCCTAGATCCAAACTACGACGGGTGCTGCTATGCCTCCTGGGTTAATGGGTCCACCTCAGCCTCCTCACTCCGCTACTCTAGTGAGTAATGTCACACATGCAAGGAATTGCTACAATCGCTATTCAACTAATCTTGTCTCATGCAATCTCTTCTCCTGTGTGCAGCCTCAGTCGACGGGTTCGAACAACCCAGCTCAGGGCACTCCGAACGACCAGATGTTTCCTTCCCCGTCGTCAGCAGGATGGCCACATCAAGGGCCGCTTCAATGAGTAGCGCTTGTAGTTTCATGTCTTGTTCTCTTCGCAATGGATTCCTGTCCGAGACAATGTTGTTGTCATGCATGTGTTATTGTGACATGTGGTGATGGATTTGAACTACTTGTTGAATGATGTGGAATCATGTCGAATAATGGATGGAATTACTGTGACATGTGGTGAACGGATGTGATTCATGTGGTATGTGTGATGGATTCTGACATATAAGGTGTTGGATGTGGTATATATGTGATGGATGTGATATATATGCCATATGTTGTGTTTGCAGTGATCGAAAGCAAAAAAAAAAAAACTAAAATTTTTGGTCACTTTGCCGAGTGTCACACTTGACAAAGAGCCTTTGCCGAGTGCCTTTTGCCCTGGCACTCGGCAAAGCTGCCAAAAAATGCGCTACCAGGTCTCTTTGCCGAGTGCCAGTACCCTGGCACTCGGCAAAGCTGTGTACACTACCATGTGTTTCCCAGCTTTGCCGAGTGCCAGGACTCTGGCACTCGGCAAAGAATTTTCAAATTTTTTTTTCTTTGCCGAGTGCCATCTCAGCTAAGCACTCGGCAAAGGATTTTTCGAAAAAAAATATTTTTTTCTTTGCCGAGTGCCGGGTCAGGAAAGCACTCGGCAAAGGATTTTTCAAAAAAAAATATTTTTTTATTTGCCGAGTGCCGGGTTAGGAAGGCACTCGGCAAAGGATTTTTCAAAAAAAAAAGGGAAAAGCTTTGTCGAGTGCCTTCCTGACCCGGCACTCGGCAAAGACGCCGTCAACGGCTGACGGCCAATTTTGTTTGCCGAGTGCCGTCCTGACACTCGGCAAAGCCATTGCCGAGTGCCCGACAAACGACACTCTCGGTAAAGAACCCTTCACCGGATGCGGCTTTGCTGTTTGCTCTTTGCCGAGTGTGGCACTCGGCAAAGCCTTTGCCGAGTGCAATAGGGCCTTTGCCGAGTGGCCTAGGCACTCGGCAAAGAGCGCATCTCCAGTAGTGACTTCTGGGGGTGGAATGGATGGATCAGCAGAGTTGGTCAGCAACGAGGACGATCTGGAGGATGAGGAAGGCTGCACTGATGAGGTTCAGAATGATGAGGAAGGCTACAATGAGGATGATCAGGAGGGCTACAATGAGGTGGTGATCGATGGCTGCGGGGACGATGCACTTGCACAAGATGATTGGTATGATCAGGAGGTCGACTATGGGTTTGATCAGGAGGTCGACTATGGGCTTGATCAGGACGACGAACAGGAGTTCGAAGAGTTCTACTTACTGTGATCGCTTCGCCGATGCTCAAGAACCACTGGCGTCGGCCAAGTTCGATCAATCCATAGTTGCCACGTTTCTGCAAATACACTTTCTTTGCTGTTCTTTTTATGACGCACGTGCTTTGGATTTGAAGACTGTTTTAGGTGTTATTAATTGCTGCTATGTTTCCACGCTTATATTTATTATTAGTATATTAGTATTACTGCTATCAGCCTGTTCTGAATTTCAGAGATAAACACACGTAGGATACCAGATGGAATTGGGGCCTATTCTGTGAACTTGTGATGAACTTTGTGTTGATGAAATCTGTTTGGGCCTATGCTGTGAACTTGTGATGAACTTTGTGACGATGAAATCTGTTTGGCTGATGCTTCAGTTCATCAATGTCCAGAGTTCGGTACTTCAAGTTATCATTGCTGTTCTACCCATATATATCTGGATTCCATGTTATAGATTTATTAGGACGACCGGCCGGTTTGTTCATTTCCTATGCATGGTTCTATATATGATCATCGTCGATAAAGTTGCACATACTTTGATCAATGCCATGAAATTTTACTCCTTTTTCTGGAGCTCAGTACTCTTTGCGTTTGCACTGATGACCATCTATGACTACGAACTTGTTCAGTTATATGACTCTGAAGTTTGGTTTAGTTCAGTTCAGTGCCGAAAGCTGCTGGGGCCTTTCTGCTACCCATATGCGATGATCACACGTGAGATGTCTAGGTTTCTAACCATCCTACGTGACAACGTGCGCGAAATGTTCTCAAATTTTTACCATAGCCTCCACATGTGATGTAAAAACGCGTCACCAAGTTTTATGATTTTCGAACTTCGTTTGCATTTTATATAATTAAAAAACACTTCACCCGCAATTTTGTCGCCATGTTTCGTGCATGAGATGTTTGAAACTTCGGGCGTGCTCCTGGAAACGGCCTCAAAATACAATAAGTAACGCGAATATCATTTTTCCACTCATCGAATTTCATGATTCGATGCACCTGCAGTTCAAACTTACATTTCCCGGAAAAATGCAATTAAATGAAATAAATTAAGGATATATAGCAAAAAGATCAAGAAATGTGCCAAATTTGAGGATGTACTTCAACTTAATGTGTAAGGGCAGAAGAAAAAGTTTGGAGGCAAAAACAAAAATAAATTATGCTTTGCCGAGTGCCCAACTCTGGCACTCGGCAAAGACTCTTTGCCGAGTGTCTAAGGGGGCACTCGGCAAAGGTGAAAGTTTTTAAAAAAACGCGGACGATTTTGGATTTTTTTAATCTGAGCTTTGCCGAGTGCCAGATCTGCGGCACTCGGCAAAGAGGTAAGTTTTTTCTTTTAAGTACGGTTGTTTCTTTTTTTTAAAAAAAAAGAAAACTCATTGCCGAGCGCCATATCTGCGGCACTCGACAAAGATATTTGAAAAAAAAATTAAAAATCCTTTGCCGAGTGCCAGTTCGCGGGCACTCGGCAAAGGAAAGGGAATTTCCTACGGTTGGCCCACCCCGAAGCCCCATCGGCCACACACACGCGCGCGCGCCCCCACACCCGTCTCTGTGGCCCGCCGCCGCCCGCCGCGCCGCCGCCCGCCTGCCGAGCCCCGCCTGCCGTGCGCGAGCCCTCCGCCCCATCGCCGCGACCCCGACCCCCATCCCCTGCCGCGCCCCCCGCGCCTGCAGCCCCCTGCCATGCCATTGCCATTTGCCGCCCTTGCCGGGCGCCCTTCCCACCTGCCCGCCCCACCCACCGCCTCCCGCCTGCTCCTCCTGCCGCCCCACCCGCGCCCCGGCAAAGTTGAACGCATGGCGCCCCCGCCGCGGAGAAGGAGAGGGAGGGACACCTTCACCTCCCTCCCGTGTGGGGCCACGCCCACCCCCCCCCCCCGCGCCGTCGGTTCTTGGAGGGATGAGGCAGAGGTGAAGTAGGAGGAAGGCGAAGAGGAGGAGGAAGGGAAGAGAAGGAGAAGAAGAGGAAAAGAAGAGAAGAAGGGGAAGAAGGAGAGGAGGAAGGAGGAAGAAGGAGGAAGGGGAAGAGAAGGAGAAGGAGGAGTTCTCGGCGCCTTCTTCGCGCGTGCACGTCCCGCCACCGCCCAAGGTATATGCACCGTCCCTTTGCGAATGTCGGCCTTCGTGTCATGAATGTCGGCCTTCGTGCCCTTGTGAATGTCGGCTTTCGTGCCGTTATTTTTTGCAGGTTTTGGAAACCTCCCTGTACAGGGGAGGTTCTGCCAAAATTTTCAACTTATATTGTTGTGTTTCTTGTTTTGCAGAGCAGGACCTGTCGGAGGGGACCCATAGTACCTAGGCGACCCCGATCGTCTTCGTCGGTGCTGCGGTCCTGCCTGCATAGCCTCGCTTCGCCACTGCACCGACTCGCCACTGCCCCGCTAGCCTGACTCCACCGCCACCCTAGGTATAAATAACCTCTCTTCCTTATCGTTGTCGTAGATCGGTGTAACCTAGTTAGGCGTCTCCCGTTCGAAAGAGATACGGTTGGAAGTATGTAGATCTTTGCATATGTATAACCGTATCTGTTTCGGATTGTCCACGTTTTCTGGACAGCCCGCGGATGCGTAGACGAGGTTTGTTTCCATGGTCTGCTCCAATCCGAGACAGAGTTTTGGCATCACCTCCGTGTTGTTCTCCGGATACACACTCTCCCTACCAGGACGTGTATCTGGAGAACAGCGGGGAGGTGCTGCTGAAATTCTATCTCGGCTCGGAGTAGACCATGAAAACTAACCTCGTCTATGCATCCGCGGGTGGGATTAGGACCTATCCTCACCTATTAGATAGTAGGAACACCACGTAGATGCAGTTGATGGTTACGTTACTCGTTGATATCTATTTTAGAGGATGGATGACTGTGAGTGGATGTACACGGGATACAGAAGTCAGAGTGATTTCAGCACTGAATGGGGGCAGAAGACCGAGGCTTTCTTGGACCGTGCATTCGGTAGGGGTGCGAATAGAGCGCATCTAATGAAGTGTCCCTACAGCATGTGTGCAAACAAAAAATGGCAAAAGAAGGACAACATGGGTATACATCTTTAGAAGCATGGCTTTATGCCGAACTATACCCGGTGGATCCACCACGGTGAAGCCCATCGGATGAGAGAGGAAGTGGTGAGACCACGCCTCGAGCATGTTGATGATGATGGCGGGGTTGCAGACATGTTAGATGACTATCAACAAGCACAGATCCCTAATGGACGTGCGGAGGAGACGGAGGCATCCGCAAAGGCGTTCTATGACATGATGTCTTCGGCACAGAAACCCCTTCATGATCGGACAATGGTTTGTCAACTCGATGCCATTGGACGCGTGATGGGGTTCAAGGCCGAGATCAACATGGGTCGACAACACTTCGATGGTATGTTGGCCTTGATTGCTAGCATGCTTCCGGAGGGCCACATTCTGCCAAAGAGCCTGTACGAGTGCCAGAAACTCCTTGATGGACTCAAGATGCCTTACGAGCAGATACATGCTTGTCCGAATGGGTGTGTCCTCTTTAGGAAAGAACATGAGCATGAAAAGTACTGTCCGAAGTGCAAATCCTCCAGGTACCTAGAGGTAGACTCTAGGGATGGCCACAAGAAGCACCTTACCGTCCCGATGAAAATCTTACGGTACCTCCCATTCATGCCGAGGATCCAACGGCTATACATGAGCGAGGAATCCACTAAGCAGATGACGTGGCACAAACAGGGCACACGATACAATCCTGACAAGATGGTACATCCGTCCGATGGTGAAGCATGGAACCACTTTGATGGCATTCATCATGAGAAAGCATCAGAGCCTCGTAACGTACGTGTTGCGCTGGCAACAGATGGGTTCAATCCTTATGGTTTGATGGCTGCCCCCTACACATGTTGGCCCATGTTCGTCATCCCCCTCAATCTCCCCCCCCCGGCGTCGCCTTTGAACGTCAGAACGTATTCTTGTCATTGATAATTCCTGGACACCCGGGGAAGAAGATGGGTGTCTTCATGGAGCCTCTGATTGATGAATTGGTCAGTGCTTGGGAGGATGGGGTATGGACATACGACAGAGCTACAAAGACACCCTTCAAAATGCATGTTTGGTACCAGTACTCCATGCATGACTTCCTAGCGTATGGGATATTCTTTGGTTGGTGTGTCCACGGGAAGTTCCCATGTCCATTATGCAAGGATCATCTGAGGTTCATCTGGCTCAAGAAGGGTGGCAAGTATTCGTCGTTCGACAAACATCGTCAATTCCTCCCTCCCGAGCATCCATTCAGGCAAGACACCAAGAACTTTACGAAAGGTGTCGTAGTGATAGAACCTGCACCACAAATGATGACTGGTGCTGAGGTTCATGCTCAGATAGATGCTCTCGTGGAGAATCAAGAAGGTGATGGCTTCGTGGGATACAACGAGGAACACATGTGGACTCATAAGTCGGGCTTGATGAGGCTCCCCTATTTTGATGACCTTCTTATGCCACATTACATTGATGTCTTGCACACAGAAAATAATGTTGCCGAGGCACTCTGGGGAACAATCATGGAAACTGAAAAGTCAAAGGATAACCCTAAGGCTAGAGTGGACCTGGCAGAGTTGTGTGATAGACCACATCAAGAGATGCGTGCTCTTAGAGGCGGCAAGACATGGAAAAGGCCTAAGGCAGATTTCATCTTGACCCCCAGACAAAGGAGGGGAAGTACTCCAATGGATCCAGACGTTAATGTTCCCTAATGGGTATGCAGCGAATCTGAGGAGGGGAGTGAACTTAACTACTCTCCGAGTGAACGAGATGAAGAGTCACGACTACCACATATGGATTGAGTGGCTTCTTCCGACGATGGTTCGAGGCTTTGTCCCTGAGCACATATGGACAGTGCTGGCAGAGTTGAGCTACTTCTTCCGCCAGCTCTGTGCCAAGGAGTTATCTCGGACCGTGATTGCTGACTTGGAAAAAGTGGCACCTGTCTTGCTTTGCAAGTTGGAGAAGATCTTTCCACCCGGCCTCTTCAATCCGATG